GACAAAGTCATTCCTGATGCCATAGGAGGCTCTGGTGTAGCCTGGGAGAGGCAGAAGTACTAGAGTCACCAACCCAGGGCATGGCTGTCACTGTGTCCTGGGTGTGCGTTGGTCTCACGCGGGGATCTCTTTTGCAGAAAGACCAGTTTGGGATGTATGCATTGTATAGCAAGAACAAGCCAAAGTCGGACTCGCTGTTGGCCAGCCACGGGAATACCTTCTTCAAGGTAAATTCCACTGCCTACATCACGATTGCTCTTGGTGTTTGGGTCACCGATCTGTTTAAACAAGCCCAACTTTCCTGCTTGAGGTGTGCTCAGCACTACCTCTGCTTTCCTGGCACAGCTCTCCGCACAAGTGTATGTGGGGGGACAGGGGCAGAGATGCTGTGAGTGCTTTGGAAAGGAGCCCAGCATACAGCAGTGTTGGTCCTATGGCCTTGCATTTCCCTGCAGAGCAAACAGAGTATCCCAGTCAGGAAAGATGTGGGTGTCAGTGCCTGCCTGGGGGCACAGGGCTCTCCACAGGAAGCTGCTGCCTTCACTCTCTGCTGCGTTTCTCAGTTCAAGCAGGTGCAGCTGGGGGATAAGATGGACCTGGCCTCCTACCTGCTGAAACCCATCCAGCGGATGAGCAAATACGCCCTGCTCCTGAAGGACCTGATCAAGGAGTGCAGCGAGGCACAAGAGCAGGAGCTGGGCTACCTCCGTGCAGCTGAGGAGATGGTGAAGTTTCAGCTCCGTCATGGAAATGACCTGCTGGCCATGGACGCCATCCGCGACTGTGATGTACGTTCCAGTGTCCTCCCCTCCGCAGGGGAGCAGAGCCACACTCCTTCCCCTTCTCTAGACTTGGGGAAGGGTACAGGGCAAGGGACCAGCAGGGCTTGGAGGTCTCCTTGATCTGCTAGGATAGACAGCCTGGATGCTGTTACTTGAGCTGGGTGAGCTGCTTGTCATAAACGTGCTCCCAGGTGCTTACTGGTGACATCAGGCAGCCTGGCAGCCCTTGCAGATGGCATCCTGCAGGCTGCCTTGAGCCCTTCCATCTCTTTTGAGCTGGTGATAAGAGGGTCAGGCAGTTCGCAAGAAGGAATTCAAACTGATGCTGATGCCAGGGGGTAGGCCAAAATCAGCTAGGTGGGACTTGAAGGAGAGGCATGCAAAGTGCAGCACAGGAGGAGGAGAAACCACAGGGCTCAGGGTGGAGGAAGATGGATCTGGGACAGAAAGAACTGAGGGACTGGCCTTCTGACCCAGATCTGCTCCTGGCAGTTTGACGGGACTCCTTTCCTCTTCAGCTCTCTTCTTCCCCCTAAGATAATGCTCTGGTAGCTGCCTCCAGTTGCCAACCCAGAGGTTTGTCACAGATCTGCACAGGGTAGCAGCAGAGGGTCATCTGTGTGCCATGCCCAGGAGAGAGGTGCAGCTCTCCCCTGAGCTCTGGGCCAGTTGTTTCAGCCTGGTGTGGTCTCTAGCAGTGTCATGCAGCCCTACCTCTTTAAGAGCCCTCCTAACATGACAGGTAGCTGCCACTTCTTCACCTCCTGGGTCACAGCCATGTGGGAGCAGGCTCTCCATGTCCAGGCCTGGGGTTGCCTGGAGCTGATCCTGCTGGGGTCTTACCAGGACGTTCCCTGTGTCCAGGTGAACCTGAAGGAGCAGGGGCAGCTGGTGCGGCAGGACGAGTTCACCATCTGGCTGGGCCGTAGGAAATGCCAGCGACACGTCTTCCTCTTTGAGGACCTGATCCTGTTCAGCAAGCCTAAGAGGATCGAGGGTGGCTTTGATGTGTACATCTACAAACGCTCCTTCAAGGTAAGGGCAGCCCTGCAGCTCCCTCTTGTGCAGGAGGTGTCCATGGCTGGTTTCCCCGTGGACACATGGCTCCGAAACGGGGAGCAGGAACACCTGCAGCAGAAGAGCTGCTCCCACCACTGCTAAGCCTTCTCCAAGCCATGCAGTGAAACCAGAAGGGAATACTTCACGCATTAATGCCTGGGCCCCCTCTGTGCTGTGAGATGTGGGGCCAAGGTCTTCTGAGCGATGCAGAGTGTGAGGGAAAGGCAGTGTGTGTGTGGCAGGGAGGTGGTGCTGACTCTGGATGAAGCGCTGGGAATCGCCTGGGCTGTCTCTGCTCAGCTGTGTCCATATCGTACCTGCTCCTGCCCGGACCCTCAGGCTCCTTCCCCGTTGGGTCTGCTGAGCTGGGGGTAGCTCTGGCACAGGGTGCAGGCAGAGTTTATCCTTTCTGCTCCTAGCAGAGCCCCCATTGATGCTTTGCTCTTCCTTTTTCTGGCAGACTGCAGACATCGGTCTGACGGAGAACTCTGGAGACAGTGGCCTGCGCTTTGAGATCTGGTTCCGAAGGCGAAAGTCCAATGACACCTACATCCTCCAGGCCAGCTCAGCTGAGACTAAGCAGGCCTGGACCAGTGACATTGCCAAGATCCTGTGGCAGCAGGCAGCCCGCAATAAAGGTGTGATTCCTTCCCGGGGCGTCTGTGCCGCAAAAGGTGCGGGAGCCCTGTTCAGCTCGTGCTGTCCTGAGTAGGTTTGGAGCCTGTTACCAGGCAGCTCTGTGCAGCGAGCAGCTGTGTGCCAGCATGCAGCCTCAGGAGCATGTGCTGGGCTTGGCTAGGCATGTCCCTTCCCTGCCCCTCATCCCCAGGGAACTTGACTGGTGCAAGCTCTGTGTGACTGTGTAGACACCCACCTAGACTCCATGAGAGAAACGGGAGATACTAGCACAGGGTTCCCTGCCCTGTGAGTGTGGGCTGTGCTCCTGAAAGGCTCACTGCTCTCCCCATGATCTAAGCCACTGCTGCAGTGGCAGCTGTCTGGCTGAGCCCCTCCTCTCCGCCCCAGGCTTCCCGCTTGGCAGGACTCTCGTAGGTGGCATGGCACTGAGCTACTTGGCCAGAGCAGGGCGTGATTGCTTGTCTGCGGAGACTCCTCAGGACTGAGGAGCAAGGGGAGAACAGGTCTAATCTCAGGAGCAGCTTGGCCCAGGAGTGCTCTGGCCTGGGGTTGCATAGCGCTCGTGGGGCGGGTTGGAGCAACCTCACGATGTGGCTGTGGGTCTCTTCCCCTCCAGAAATCCGCATGCAGGAGATGGTCTCCATGGGTGTGGGCAACAAACCGTTCCTGGATATCAAACCCAGCGAGGCAGCTATCAATGACCGTGCTATCGATTACATCATGAAAGGCAGAGGTGAGTGCCAGCCGTGCCTGCCCCCTTGCTCCGTGTGAGCTAGGCAGGACTGGTGCTCAGGGCTTTTTTGGTATGTTTTCTGGCAGGCGCCAGGACCAGAGCATCAATCGCGGTGTCTCTGTTTGACCATTCCAACCCATACAAGAGGACGCAGGCACAGCTCTCCGCTGGCAGCACCCCTGCTGCATACAGCCCTTCCTCCTCCTCCCTCCTGGGGCCCCTCAACCTCCACATGTACCTGGACCAGGCTCTGCTGCCGGGCGTCCTGGCCCCCACCCGCCCCTTTGACATTGGCACCTGCATCGAGGAAGATGAGCTGGAGCACGAGACGAGCAGCCAGCCGTCACTGAGTACGTACAAGCCCCCTGCTCCACAAGGCGCCCTGGGATGTGTGGGCTTGTCCCCACACCTTGCTCTGTGCTGTGGGGTCAGACCGGGCTCACTGGGGTCATGGCAGTCCCTGCCCCATAGCCAAACTGGGGCAAGGAGGGCCCCTGCCCTTCCACGCCAGCTCTGTCTCAGCTTTCGTGGGGGGAGTTAGCTCAGACGCCGGGATTAGTGAAGTGCTCGCCGATCTGCAGCCATCCCAGTGGCAGGCTTGATGCTGCATACTGGGGCTACTGTGGCCTTGGAGACCAGTGCTCGTGTCTCTGCCTGCCTGCCCCTCTGGTACGAAGCACTCTGTCCCTTGCTCTCGCCAGCCTGGTCCAGTAACCCCTTGGCTTCCCCTGTGTGAACTTCCCTGGCCAGTCTATACCAATCTCCAGCATTATTTGCTACGCTTCCTTTAGTTATTTTGTTGCCTATGGCTTTAAAGAGGCCCAGACAGGAGTGTGGCTTATCTGTGGGCTTGTGTGACCAGTGCCTCTGCAAACAGATACCTTATCAAACGTATGTGGCACAGGTCATGTAGGCCAAATTCATGGTCATTGCAGTGACCTTCCTCTCTTCCCCCAGCAACAGAGAGCTCAGAGTCATCGCACTGCATGTCAGGCAGTGGC